ATTTGTGTGTCCAATCATACTTGGCCAATAAAGAATTTTTCTCTTCTCTTCTCATATCTCCTCTCCTCTCTTCTCTCCTCCCCTCCTCTATTCTTTTCTCTCCTCCCCTTCTCTTCTCCCCTCCACTCCTTTCTTCTCTCCTCCCCTCCCCATCTCTTTCCCCCTCTTTTCTCCTCCCCTCCTCTCTTCTTCTCTCTCCTCCCTTCCCCTTCTCTTTTCTTCTCTTCTCCCCTCCTCTCTTCTCTCCTCCCCTTCTCTTTTGCTGTCTTCTCCCTTCCCCTCCTCTCCTCTCCTCTCCGTTCTCTATTTCATTCCATTCCATATACAAAATGTCTAGTATTTTTAAAATCAGGATAGTCCCAGTGCAATTCTAAAAGTGGCCAAAGGAAGAAAGGTTAGAAAAAATGGGGAAAGCAAACTGAAATGCCAATTCCTAGAGTTACCTTTTCTTATATGTCAGGGAAGAATGGAAAAAAAACAACAGCAATCCAGCTTGTCACAAACAGCCAATGTAGAGGAAAGCACAACCCAATGGCTGTAATGAGGACCCAGATTGTTGGGGGCAATATGCTGACTCTCTGTAAACCGCTTAGAGAGGGCTGAAAGCCCTATGAAGCGGTATATAAGTCTACTGNTATAATAGAAGATAGAAAGACCTGCACGTGGATTAGAGAACAAATGAAAGAATTCAATATCATCAAGAGAGTAAAAGAATTGAAATGGAAATGGGCCGGTCACATAGCAAGAAGAACTGATGGCCGCTGGACCAAGGCAGTCATAGAATGGATCCCACTCGATCAAAAGGGGCCTAAAACAAGATGGATCGACAACGTCAGCAACTATTGTGGGCCCAATTGGTAAAAGAAAGCTTAGGACCATATTGGTTGGAAACATGCGTAAGAGGCCTTCATCCTGCAGTGGATAGATGAGGGCTAAAATCCTGATGAAGAAAATTCATTTACTTTGGGTTTCCAGTAAAAATCTCTCCACTTAACGACTACCACAAAAAAAGTTGTACAATTGGATCTGGTCATACGGTGACTTACTCTACTACCATCATGACTTACTACCTTAATTGTCAGATTCAATTGTGATCATCATTTAGAATAGAATAACAACAGAGTTGGAAGGGACCTTGGAGAACTTCTAGTTCAGGCAGGAGACCCTGCACCATTTCAGACAAATGCCTGTTTAATCTCTTCATTAAAACCTCCAGTGATGCAGCACCTACAACTTCTGGAGGCAAAACATTCCACTGATGGTTTTAACTAATTTCTAATTTCTCCTTAGTTGTAGGTTGCTTCTCTCCTGGATTAGTTTCCATCTACTGCTTCTTGTCCTGCCTTCAGGCGGTTTGAAGAATAGCTTGACTCCCTCTTCTCTGTGGCAACCCCTGAGATGTTGGAAAACTGCTATCATGCCACCCCTAGTCCTTACAATACAATACAATAGCAGAGTTGGAAGGGACCTTGGAGGTCTTCTAGTCCAACCCCCTGCCTAGGCAGGAAACCCTATACCATTTCATACAAATGGCTATCCAACATCTTCTTAAAGACTTCCAGGGTTGGGGCATTCACAACTTCTGGAGGCAACTTCTTTTCCACTGATTAATTGTTCTAACTGTCAGGAAATTCCTCCTCAGATCTAAGTTGCTTCTCTCCTTGATTAGTTTCCACCCATTGCTTGTTCTACCCTCAGATGCCTTGGAGAATAGGTTGATTCCCTCTTCTTTGTGGCAACCCCTGAGATATTGGAACACTGCTATCATATCTCCCCTAGTCCTTCTTTTAATTAAACTAATACCCAAATCCAGCAACCGTTCTTTATATGTTTTGGCCTCCAGTCCCCTAATCATCTTTGTTGCTCTTCTTCTCTGCAATCTTTCTAGAGTCTCAACATCTTTTTTTACATCATAGCGACCAAAGCTGGATGCAGTATTCCAGGTGTGGCCTCAGTAAGCCCTTATGTGGTATTAACACTTCATGTGATCTTGATTCTATCCCTCTGTTTATGTAGCCTAGAATGTGTTGGCTTTTTTGGCAGCTGCTGCACATGGCTGGCTCATATTTAAGTTTTTGAGGACTACCTGCAAAAAGTTTGTTGTGGTCTAAATTCCTATTAGTTTTAAACTCCAGTGTTACTTAGGAGACAAATACAATAAAGGCTGTGAATAAGAACATCTTTTTACCTAATTTGTTAACATGGAAGGGCCCACCAGATAAGCCAGGAAAAAATGGGAAAAAAAAGTTGAATTCAGCAAGAATAGGAAGCCTAAGACATGTGTGTCAGTGGTGGGTTTCCATTTTTTTTTTACTAAGGTTCACTTGTGCAAGCATGCATGTTCGCTTGTGCAATACACATGTGCAGAAACGTCTGGGCAGGTGAGCGGAGCCTCCCGCCACCGCCACTACTAGTTTGCCAGATCCGGGCAGAACTGGGAGCAACCCACCTCTGTTGTGTGTGTGTGTATGAACAAGTGATTGAGAATTAGTGAATGCTGAGTTGACGTGGTGTAGATATAGAAGTCAGTGACCTTTATGAAAGAGATCTGTTGAAGTGGTTTGGCCTCATAGAGAGTTGCAAAACAAATATGTAAAGGGAGAATGAATGTGTTGGGAGTATACTCCTGGTGTTGGGTAGACTATATATATATATATAT